ACTTTAGGGATCTAGTTGACACTCATAGGCCTTGCTTAGTTGCTCTCCTTGAAACCAGAACGGCAATGCATGGTTCCCTTCTTAATGATTTTAATTTCTCTGAAATGATCGAAGTTCTCTCTGAAGGCCAATCTAGAGGTATGGCCATTCTCTATGACCATACCGTGGTCACAGATCATAATTTCACAAGGAGGGGTCAAGAAATTCATGCAATATTAGAGGTACTTCCCTTTCGCTTTACTTGGTTATTAAGCACTAACAATGCTAGTACCAATATTCATGCTAGAGATTTTATGTGGGATAATCTTATTAATATTTCCAATAGCTACAATGAAAGATGGTTAGTGGGAGGAGATTTTAATGACATTACCATATCAGCCGAAAAATTTGGAGGAAGAACTGTCAGTATTCTAGGACTTCTAGGATTTGGAACTTTATTAACAAATGTAGACTTATGGACTTAGGATTTAAGGGTAGCAAATTTACTTGGTCCAACCATAGAAAAAGGTTTAAGGGTTTAAAATGGAAAGATTAGATCATTTTTTAGGTAGTGAAGAATGGGCCAATCTATTTCCTAATGCCACAGTAACCCATCTCCCAAAAACATATTTCGATCACAACCCTCTTCTCTTAAACCGTAACTCCTTTCCTCATGTAGCTCTTCGTAAACCCTTTAGGATAGAAAATATTTGGTGCACACATCCTGATTTTGTTAATTTAGTACGTCAAAATTGGTTTAATAATAACCTCTTAGAAGCCACTCGCAATTTTACTATCAATATCTCCAAGTGGAGTAAGGAAACTTTTAGTGATGTTCTTAAAAGAAAAAAGAGAATTCTGGCTCGCCTTAAGGGTATACAAAACTCCCCTAACTATACTCATAGTTCTTTTCTCCAAAGCCTACAATCTTCTCTAAAAAATGACTTCAATAATGTCTTAAAACTAGAAGAAGACTATTGGAGACTTAGATCACGAATTTCATGGCTCAATGATGGGGACGCAAACACAAATTTTTTCCATATAAGTGCCTCCAATAGAAGAAGAAGGAACCATGTTAGCTTCTTTAAAGATGACCAAGGAAATTGGGTTGATAATCATAATGATATCCTTCTCATGCTCAATTTTTTTTTGAGAATGCCTTTACAACTTCTCACTGTTTTACAAATAAATCGGATATCTTTAGTGGCCTTGTCAGTTTTGACTCTTTAGACCTCTCACCACTAGACAAGCGCCTTTCAAACAGTGAAATTATCAAGGTTATTTTTTTTTAAACCTTACAAAGCGCCTGGTCCAGATGGTTTTCACCCATTCTTCTATCAAAAATACTGGAAGTTTGTCAGGCCTAGTGTTACTTCATTTTGTCATGAAATCTTCACTTCCTACCAAATTCCTGCCAATATTAATTCCATTTATTTGTGCCTTATCCCTAAAATCCACAATGCGAATAATCTTAAGAACTTCCGACCTATAAGATTATGCAACACAAGCTATAAAATCATCACTAAAATTATAGCTAATAGGTTAAAACCATTCCTGGACCAAATCATCAGCCCCTTCCAATCGAGCTTTCTAAAAAATAGAAGAGCTAGTGATAATGCGATTCTTATCCAAGAAATCATCCACAGTTTCAAAAAAAGCTCTAGTAAAAAGAATAGGATGATCCTAAAAATAGACCTAGAAAATGTCTTTGATAACTTGGAATGGTCTTTTATATGTAGAACCCTTAAATATTTTAAAATCCCTCCCAACCTGTCAAAATTAATCATGTCATGTATCACCTCGTCTAGTATGGCTGTTATTGTGAATGGTGCAAGAAGTGATTTTTTCTACCCTAGTAGACGTATTAGACAAGGTCACCCCATGTCTCCTTATATTTTCATTCTCTGCATGGAAATGTTATCACGTTATATTAGTTTCCAAGTAGACACTAAAAGATGAGATCCAATTACCATTAGCTCAAATGGACTTCCTCTATCCCACCTTTTCTCCGCATATGACCTAACCCTAACGAGTCACATTAACCAAAAATTTTGCACTTCTATTAAGTTTGGCCTTGACATATTTTGTAAGTTCTCTGGTCAAAGCATCAACATGGCCAAATCAAAGATTATTTTTTCCAAAAACTGCACCAAAGACATTAAAATTGCTACCTCTAATTTCTTTTGGTTTAAAGTTTAGTAATTCTTTTGGAATATACCTAGGATTCCCCATCGTGGATTCTACTCCAAAATCCAAAGACTTTCACTTTATTATTGATAATATGCGAAACCGTCTAGCAAATTGGAAAGTTAATTGTATTAACATGGCTGGTCGTACCACCCTTTCATCCTCAACTCTTGCTAGCATTCCCAATTACGTAATGCAATACACTCTTCCCCAGAAAAAAATCCTTAAAATCATTGACAAACTTCAAAGAGATTTTATCTGGGGATCAAATGATTCTAAAAGAAAACTTCACCTCCTCAATTGGGATAGCATTACTCTAGAAAAATACAAAGGCGGCCTTAGCCTTAGGAAAGCTAAATCAAAAAACATAGCTCTCCTAACAAGCCTTGCTTGGAGATTCCTAAACTATCCTCACACCCCTTGGGCTAAAGTTCTCATATGCAAACATATATATCCTCCCCTATTAAACGTCAATCTTTTTATTGGAAAAGTATCCTAAAAGGTTGACATTTTTGTATAAAAGGTTGTTTGTGGCATATAGGACATAACTCCTCCCTTGGCATTTGGGATACAAAATGGATTCCTAAAAGCCCCTGTCTTAGGAATATCATTGAGGGCCTTCTTACAAAAAAAGATTGCTCTCTTACTATTAAAGACTTCATCACTCATAATACTTGGTCCTTAGATAAAATCTCTCTAATTTTGCCTAACAACTTAGTTGAAAAAATTCAATCCATTAGCTTACAATAGAAAGAAATCATGACTTCTTGACTTGGGAACCAAATAGCAATGGCTTATTCTCTACAGCTTCTTGTTACAACCTCATTGAGCCCAACGAGAATCCTTCCAAAAACTTTAATTGGATCTGGAAAACTCACTGTCCCAACAAATTAAAACTTCTCCTATGGAAATGTTACCATAATAGACTACCTTCTAGATCCTACCTGCATCATATGGGAATGAACATAGACAAGATATGTTCTGTATGTTGCCAGAGTGAAGAAGATATCCCCCATATTTTTAATCACTGCATCATTGCAAAATTTTTTGGCAATCCCTCAACATAAGTATTAACTGGCCAATTTCTGAGGATAACCTATGGGTAGACAAACTAAAAAATTCTAATCCATCCATTCCCTCTACACTGCTCACTTGGTCCCAACTTTTTCCCTTTGCCATTTGGAATTCTGGCTAAATAGAAATAATAACCTTGAAAACAATACTTCTAATCATGTTTTAATCTCTTTTGTTATCAAGCAAGCGATTGAATTTGCTCTACTAACTTCGAGAGAAAGCTCTCCCTCAAAAAATATTGTTTGCAACACTCAATGGCATAAACCCCGTGCTGGTTGGTTTAAGTTAAATATAGATGGAGCTTTCCACCAAAATCACGCAGGAATAGGTCATAAGAAATAACACAGGAGAATGGATCATGGGATTCCAACAAAGAGTACAAGCTCTAAACTGTACTCATGCTGAAATTCTGGCCCTGACTAAAGGCCTAGAATTTATCTCTCAACACAACATATGGCCTTGTAAAATAGAAACTGATTCAACATAGGTAATTGATCTTTTAAAGGAAGGCAACACCTCTTACGATTTTTTACTACAATCATGCAGGTACTTGATCTCCCAGAAGGACAAGGAGGTGATGATCCGGCATAGCTTTAGAGAAGGAAATGAAGTCGCTCACCTGCTAGCCCAGGAAGGAGCCAAACAACCAATGCACTATGGTTTAATCTGTCATGTTGTAACCCCTACCTTTGTTGAGTCCAGGATGCTCGAGAACAAGGAGGGTTTTTCTCCAAGAAATAAATCTGTTGTAAAAGTAACTGTAGGAAACTTGCCAAACTTGGTAACCTAAATGCCTTATATGGCCTTTCATCCTTTTGTAATGATCCTCTGGATCTTGTAATGGACACTACATAGTCTTTATCAATAAAAGTTTTTCCAGTTTCTAAAAAAAAAAAAAGAAGTTAAGCAAATTTATTAATCATTAAATTTTTGTTCTAATATTGTCGTTATTATTAGGATAAAAAAGTCTTATCTTTTGTCCTTGATGCTCAACATAGCTTAATCCGAGAGTAATTTTAAATCATAGTCAATAGTTGAAAGATAGATTTAAATCTTTTTTTTTTCTCGAAAAAATTTGGACACATGAAAGTTCACTCAATTTACATTGGAGCTCCATTAATAGTAAATAAATACGAAATGGTTCAGTATGGATGGGGTAGAAATAAATCGAAAGGGCTCGTTTGGTACGAGTGACAAGGGATAATTAATCTCAGAATTACATTTGAAATGAGTTTATTCTACGTTTGATTGGAATAAAATTGCAGTATAATTAATCATGAGATTAGTTATTCCGAAATTATAGTGTTATTTTTATCTCTATGAGAGGATAGGATAATAATTTCGAGATAACTAATCCTAAAATAATTAACTATGGAATAATTTGTTTTCCTAATCTAACGATCTCAAAGTATAACATATGACAAAATTAAGTAATTTTGAATAATATACGGGCAAATTTGATCATTGTCCCTTTTTTTAGAGGGTGTATGGATTGACTTATTTTAAGTGCTTATTGGCTTTTAAGCACTTTTTTAATTTGTGTGGTGTTGGGCAATAATAAAAAGTGCTTAAAAACACCTCCTTTTAGGCATAAAAAGTATAAAAATGAGCTGAAAGCCAAAAGTTGGGTATTACCAACTTATGACTTTTGACTTTTAGCTTAAAAATCACTTCTTATGAGCCAATCCAAACACCCTCTTTGTCGAAAATGAAAAGTTCCCTTATTTATTCACAGCCCCTTCCATCTATCTAATCATCAAAATCAGACCAAGAAAAACTTCAAAAACTCAAACCATCTCCTCTCTTTTTCTTCCCCATTACACCAATTTTTCCAGTAAGTATATATAAGGAAGGAATTAATTGGAGAACAAGCAATTCAAAAGCCAATCCTTCAGATCAAATCACACCAAATTCTTCTCTCTTGTTTCTCTCTCATTACCCCACATACTCTCCTTCTTAACAAAAAACATTTAAAAAAATCTAAAACCAAACAAAAAAAAAATTTAAAACTTTATCAAAATCAAAACTTTAAAAGCTTGAAAGTTGAATCAATCTCCTCTTATAAACATATTGTCTACAAAATTTTACATTTTCTTGTTCTCAATTTGGTCAAATAAAAAAAAACATAGTGGGAACACAAAAGTAAGAGGGTAATATAGAGGGGGCATGTTGTACTGCCTCCTCTGTAGATCTTGTTGATTTTTTCATTTGGGTGTTTTCAAAAGGCAGAATCTTGATTTGGGTATTTCTTATTTTTCTCAAAAGTTTTTTAAGTTTGATGAAATATTTTCATTGTTGGGTTGCTATATGCTTGAGCTCTTACCTTTGGATTCTTGTTTGATTGATTTTTTAAGGATCAGATTCCTATTTGATTGAATCTGATAATATTTTGATCAGTTTCAAATTGTTGTCTGTTTGTGAGGCTCTCTTAATACTACTTCATAGTAAAGGTATGACCTTTACTGTTTTGCTGCTCTTTATTAATAATCTGCATTTCATTTCATCAATGCTGTATTTTGGATTTACTTTAAGCTCTCTCTCTTTCTGCAAAATGGTATGATACTATGAATGAAGTGGTATTTTTTTTTGGGTGGGTGGGTGGGGTGGGGTGGGGTGGGGGGTGTTAAAGTTGCATAATGTTGAATGAAAAATGTGGACATGGGTTATTGAGGATTGTTGATTTTGGTATTGTAGGAAAATGCAATCTGAGCTAGGCAAGTTATTTGTTGGCGGGATTTCATGGGACACAGACGAAGAGCGTCTAAAGGAGTATTTTAGTACTTATGGGGAGGTTATAGAAGCTGTAATCATGAAGGATAGGACTACTGGCCGTGCTCGTGGTTTTGGTTTTGTGGTCTTTGCTGATCCTGCTGTTGCTGAGAGGGTAGTTAAGGAGAAACACAACATTGATGGAAGGATGGTAAGCTGTTTTAGTTTCTCTCTAATTTATTGAATGTGGAGTATGATGATATTGTTAAAATTTTTGACAAAAAAATCCATTTGTCTTACACTGTCATAATTTAATAGGTTGAAGCAAAGAAGGCGGTTCCACGGGATGACCAGAGCACAACAAGTAGAAGCAGTACTAGTATTCATGGTTCTCCTAGCCCTGGTCCGGGTCGTACAAGAAAGCTTTTTGTTGGAGGTTTGGCGTCCACTGTTACTGAGAGCGACTTTAAGAAGTATTTTGAGCAGTTTGGAACAATTACAGATGCTGTAGTTATGTATGATCATAACACTCAAAGACCTAGAGGCTTTGGATTCATTACTTATGATTCAGAGGATGCAGTAGATAGAGTCTTGCTCAAGACTTTCCACGAGCTGAATGATAAAATGGTTGAGGTCAAGCGTGCTGTCCCTAAAGAGTTATCCCCAGGTCCTAGCCAAAGCCCGCTCGATCGGTACGGCTATGGATTAAATAGGATGAATAACTTCCTTGATAGTAGATTTAGTCCGATTGCTGGAGGTAGGAGCGCCTTTACGCCATTTGCTTCTGGTTATGGTATCGGTCTTAACTTTGAGCCAGGCCTGAACCCGGGATACGGGGGAAGTGCAAACATTAACAGTAGTTTAAGCTATGGACGGGGACTGAATCCATATTATAGCTCAAACAGATTTGGTGGTGGCACTGGGTTTGATGGAGTTAATGGAGGAAACACTTTGTCCTTAAGCTCAGCAACTCGCAATTTATGGGTCGATGGAGGACTACGTAATGCAACAAACTCCCCGAGCTCTAGAAATTTTATAGTATCTGGAAGCGGGAACATTGTAGGAGGAAACTTTAACAACAGTGGAGTTTGGGGTTCATCTTCACTTTCCTCTCAAGGTGGAGGAAATGTTATTAGCAAAAATGGAAATCTTGGCTATGGGAATGGTGATGACATGTATGGGCTGCCAGGAGGCTATGGCGGACGTGTCAGAAAAAGTGTGGGTCCTATAACATCATATGCTGCATCTAGTGTTGGTTATGGTGTGGGGGATTTAGCTGATTTCTACGGTAGTGGTTTGGGATATGATGAGCGCACTTGGCGTTCTGAGCAGGATGCAACTGGTTCTCTTGGTTATGGACTAGGCAATGGACGCTCTGACATGTCATCTCAAAGTTCTGCAGATTATTTAGGTACTTATGGAGTTAGCAAAAGACAACCAAACAGAGGTAAGCTTCTCATTAATCATGTTGAACATTGATGCCACATGTGATTATAAGATATGTTGTTATTGTCTTTATTGTTATTATATGATATAAGTGTCTAGCTATCTTCATCAACGTTAAGTTCTTTATGTAGAGCATGATTGTGCTTAAACTTCATCTTTAGGCTCTTAATTTTCCATAGCATGGGTCAAGAAATAATATTGACAAGTACCTAAAGAAAAGCTTGTATGTTACTGTCAAATTATGGTCATTTGAAACTAAAAGACACAGCGGAAATTAGTTGGCCAAGTTGATCGGAAAGCCATAAAGAAATCTTGAAATAGCGTTCCTTCTGTTACCTCGCCCTCTTAATGGTCATTTCCCATTTATTTTTGGTAAATTATGTTCATTGTTGGTTGTTGACTTATGTTTCTAGAATTCAAGTTATTCCTTTGCCTCCCTCAATCTGGATCTAACAACTAAGGATTACTTTAAGGATTATTCGGAGTTTTTTTCACTTGTCCTAATTGTAATAGTTAGATGAGTATATTCTCCACTGTCCTTCAAAAGAACATTGGTTATAGTCTAAAACATATATTTAGGTAGCGTACTTTATCCAGCAAATTGCATACCTATAAATAGCCAAATTATAAGAATGTCCTTTACACCAATGATATGGATCAGTATGTGGGATCAAAGACCTAAAACATCAACAATTTTGTTAAGCATGGTAAAATAGAGTCAAGAAACCTGAAATCAATTTGGGCTATCTACAAGAAATATGAAATATCGACCAGATCACAAACAATTATCTGCATGGGAAAATAGAGGAAATTTTTCCTGAAAGAGCTGAACATGAAAGTGCTCGTATTTTGATTAACGAAAAACAATAGAGGAATTTTTTTTAGACTTTTCTTGTTAGGTTTGATCAATACCAGCTCTTTCAAGTTCAATATGTTTATTAAGTACCTTTGCCATGATTCTGTATACTCTCTTTACTCTGATGGATCAGAAGTCCTTGACGTTTGTTCACCTCTCTTAGGAGTAAGGACTATAAAAAAAAAGGGCAGCCTGGTGCACTAAGTAAGCTCCTGCTATGCGCGTTGTCCGGGGAAGGACCGGACCACAAGGGTCTATTGTATGTAGTCTTACCCTGCATTTCTACAAGAGGCTGTTTCCACGGCTCGAATCTGTGACCTCATGGTCACATGGCAGCAACTTTACCAGTTACGCTAAGGCTCCCCTTCTTAGGAGTAAGGACTATGTATCATTTATTAAAATCCCCCTCAAACTTACCATATTGATAGAATTAAGTCATGCATTCCATGACACTCTTCTCACTGTTTGAGCCTCAATCTCAAGCTAGTCAGGATCAGTTATACAACAAGACTGAGTCTTAATCTAAACAAGTAGGCATCCTATGTGGATTGTTTTCCACTGTTCTCTGTTTTTTGCTAAGTGTCGGACAACTTCCTTTCATGTGATTTTAGGTCTACCTCCTTCTAACATATTATGGATATGTTGGACCTTAAAGGCCCAAATTCACTCCCATATTGCATTATCAGCCTTACAGCCGTTCTATAGAACTTGTCTTTTACTTTGATAGGTATCTTCCTATTGAACTCTGATAGCACTTCCCCGTTTCAACTATCCTATCTTAGTTTTAATTTTATCTTACTTCTCCATTTCGACCATCCTATTTTAATTTTATTTTTTTGATAGTATTCTCGTTCAACCGAGTCTAGATATTTGAATTGTCTGCAGTTAACCACCGCAATTTCGTCTAATCTCACTTCAGTTTCACTCTTCTTATGCTGGCTAACACATGATTTGGATTGAAATGTCTGGTACAACTTCTCACATCTTGTCCCACATCCTTCTTATATAACCTCTCATGCAAACTTCTTGAAAATTGATCCTGCTGTTGGAAACAAAATTAGAGAAAGCTCGTTCATTGACAAATCTTACAAGCGGATATCTCCGCAAATCATGCTTGGAAATTGCCATTTTGGTTTCTTCAAAGCAAACTACAGATGATATCTACTTTCCATTGCTGCTTTTACCACTACCTCTTACGCAGGTCGTTTAGGCCCCTTCTATTTCATAACAATGCTTTGCATATTGGAAGGTTGTTGCAAGTCGGGTTTGACATATCTCTTTCTCTGATTCGGTCAGCTTCCCCAACTTCTCCCTTCTAATTTACTGAGAATATTAGTTTCATAAACTTCTAATTTACTAAGCTCAATTCAAGTCAAGAGTACCATTTTCTCCATTTCAAAACCCTTGTAAAAATGCAAAGAACTTAGCGGAAGGCACAAATCATCCTTTGATCCCTAATAGGTTTAGACTTGTTCGTACTTGCCAAATGGTTGTACATTGGCACATGTGTGTCTTTAGGTCCTATTCCTGTCCTGATTTTCACCTCGCTCTATGCTACGCAGTTGCAAACATGTGAGGTGGCTTCCAAGTCCGAAATGTGGTCCACCTTAACCCCACCAACCTTGCTTACCTCGAAAATGGTCAGGTAGTTTTCCTCGTTTGTTGTCTCTTCCTGTACTCATATCGAGCACTGAGCAGTTACTTGTGACGAGAGAACAAAATAACTCTTTTGCTAGAAATGAGAAAGCTTTGTTTTTGTTAAAGTGTTAAACAGTATCCAGAGGCAAATTTCTTTCTTACTGTTCTGCTCTAAGATGATATTGTCCTTTTGTCCATTAGGCTAAGAAAATCTGGCATTGCTTTTCAAAGGACAAAATCGAGCATGATAGCGATCACATAATGTTTCCTCTTGAGCTTCTTGACTTAATTTTGATGTAGTCCTTATCTGCTGACAACCTCAGTGCTTTGACGGAAATTTCACCTGAAAAGTATATTTCAACCATATAGTTTTATACTCTTAGTTTGTTTCAGTTGATATTTTTTTTAGTTTCTTCCTCTTCTCTCTTCCCTTTTTATACATGTATGTACAAAAGCAATTTCTCGTGATATGGTACCGGATTATTCTACTCTTATTCTGCTCATGCTCTATTGGTGCAGGAATTGGTGACTAGGAGAAAATATCAGAAACAAAGGGTGATATAGGAGGCGAATTTTTTTGTACAAGTTGAATCCTGAATTTTGCATATTCCACAATTACATGAAGTTGAAAGGTTAAAGAATCCGAGTTCCTTTTTACTTAATCAAAAAAGAAAAAAAAAAGAATTGGAGTCCCTTTTGTAGGGCACCCGAGTGCCTGTTTTCGGTCTAGAGATAGTACTTTGCAAGAGACTGTTTAAAAGGATTTTGTTTTGAGTTATGTTTTAGAAATTCCCTTTTGTCCCTCGAGTGAGGTGTAAAATCGGATTGCAGCTGCAGCGATACATACAAAGGAAATATACAATTTTTTGCACAAAATTTGTATTCCATGTTTTTGCTGCAACACAGCTGCAAAGTTGCAGATTCTTGGCTGCTACTATTATTGTTTTATAGTTTGTAGTTAACTTCAACAGGATTTTCCTTTTCATTTGATTGTAGGTGAGGTTGATTTAATATGAAATATGTAGGGATACCCATATAGGGTATCCAAATGAACAAATTTACATATTTAGATTGCTTTACATTTCTTGATATCTATATACTAAGTGGAAAAAATTGTTGCACTGGGGAACCAATTGAAGTTATTGTTTTTGAGCTTAGCTTTTGTGATTGAATGTATAAAGATATTACTATTAGCTCATTTAGGGGTCGTTTGGTATGAGGTATAAGTAGATATAGTGTTGGTATAAAAATTTAATACCACCTTAATACTTTGTTTGGTTAGCAAACCTGGTATAAGTTATTCCTGGATTAAAATTAGTACCGGGATAACTTATATCTTGTAGGGGGCGGGGTAATTTGTGCCTGGATAACTTATACCTTCTTCTTAGAAATTATGCAATTGTCATTTTTAATACAACTTACCAAACAGTGGATAAAAAAATAATTCCAGCATAACTAATCACAGCATAAGCCGTATTCAAACCAAACCACGCCTTAATTGGTAATTGGCGCACATTTTACCGTTTATAACAAGTGTGAATCAATATCTTGGAGATAAGTTAAGTAGCATATTATAATAAGGTTAAATTAGCTTGATAGGTGTGAAAAAGCTTTACACTGTCAATACATACAAGTTGTAATTTATTTCCTTTTCAGATTAGCATTGTATTCTCAACGACTCGTTTTTGTTAATGTTCATTTTAATGAGTGATGACCATACACATTTTGACTGAGCAATTTCAAGAGGATGTTGATGACAATATGCATGGGGTGCTTTGAGCCCAAGTATGGTCTCAAAGTATGTTGTTCGGACTCTTTATAAATGTCGTTGGAAGTATATCTAAACCTCCAAAAATAGTACATATTTGAAGGATCAATACAGGTACTGCAATATTTTTGGGGAGTTCGAGCAAGATAGGTCTCGACAAAGACAATGACCTTAGAAAAACTATCACCAAGGATGGATCTCAGCTTATATAAATGCTAAACTCTTGGCTTGGCTTACGTATAATTACTAGCAACGATCAGCCTAAGACATAACGTCAAGATGGCCGAGTTGGTCTAAGGCGCCAGTTTCAGGTACTGGTCCGAAAGGGCATGGGTTCGAATCCCATTCTTGACAAAACATTTTTTTTGAGGTATTATTCAATATTCAATATGCTATGGCTTTATATCTCTTAATTAATTCATGTATATTGCTTGTAGTCTTGGTCGCATGTTTTTGTCTTATCTATTATAAAGTGGTGTCAAAGTTAGGTTGTACGCACCTAATTAATCTATCAAGTACATATTACTTGCTTTCCTTTTATTTTATATAAAGTGGTGTCAAAGTTAGATTGCACGCACCTAACTAATCCATCAAGTATTCAAGTATACCTCTATATCTCACCAGTACATATTGGTTACTCCGTTCACTAGACTTAAACAAATGCAGAAAAACCACCTTTGATTTGCATCGACTGAAATTTGTACCTTAGTATCCCATAGTCCATTTTCATTGACTGCTAAACTACAACGTTAAATGCTTTCTATATCTTTTGATGTGATACACAATAAGCTTGAGGGACACAGTGGAGAATTTTAAACAGTTTTGCTAGTTCAACCGAACCACAACTCCTGTTGGAATAAGTGTTTCAATAAATTTGAAATATTGTATTTGATAAAGTGATGTATTTACAAAAGACTCTTATTTTTCAAAGTGAATGAATGAATTCTTGATTTACTTCATACGTTTTGGTTTTAGCAAAAACATTTGATCTTCCAAATTCATGAATATATTCATGAACTTATTAAATGATAAACTTATCTTTCAAGAGTCTTTAGCCTATAAATAGGGCTAATTTTCTTTGGAAAATACAAGCAATTCAAAAACTACTTTTTCCTTAAAATATTATAAGAGACATTGATCAAATGGTGAAATCATAGATTCAAGAATAGAAGAGCAACATTCTTGAATGCTACTTGTTGTGTGGCTTAGTTGAATCCCGAAATAGAGTTGTTATTTATTCTTCCGTTTGCTCGTGGAAGAGACTCCAACTATCTTCAAGAAATATTTTCTCTACGTGCCTCTAAGCCAAGCAAGTTTATTTTCTAATATTGTTGTAATTATTGTTCTAACAATTTGAAGATAGTTGTCTCTATGGCTACTACAACAATTTCGAGTGGTGTTCCATCTTTGCCAAATTCAAATTTTGTAATAATTGATGGCAAAGACTTTCCTAGATGGCGTGGAAAGATGGAATTTTTTCTACGACGTTTGAAGTTAACATATGTACTTGAACAACCTTGTCCCAATGCTCCTAATTCTGAGGTAACAACTAATGAGGCTACTTCGATTAGAGAACAAATTCTTAAGTGGCAAGATGAAGATTATTTATGCAAGAATTATATTCTTGGTGCAATGACCAACAAAATTATGATCAATATTCTGCCAAGTGCAAATCTACCAAAGAACTTTGGGATACTCTTCAAGCTATTTATTTGGCAGAAGAGACGAGCTCAAAGAAGTTTCTTGTTTCAAATTATGGAATTCAAGATGATTGATCACAAGTCAATCACTGATCAGGTGCAAGAATTCCAGTTTATAGCTAATAAAATTGCTATTTCTGGAATTAATCTTGATGAAAACTTTCATGTCAGTGCTATTATTTCAAAACTTCCTCTGTCATGAAAAGAGTGCAGAAGCAAACTTTTACATAAGAAGGAAGATTTGACTCTTGAACAATTGTTGCAACATTTGCAAATTGAACGATATATTAGAAATCGTGACAATAATATTTTCAAGGAACCTGTCATGAAAGCTCATGTGGTTGAAGAGAAATCAACCTAAAGGGAACCAGATAACAAGATAAAGATAAAGAAAAGTAAAATTTTTAAGCGTACTGGTGCTAATTCTAAGTCAAGTGAGTATTATCACTGTCATAAATTGGTCACTATGCTCGTGATTGTAAAATTCTTAAAGCTGAAAAGTGTTAGGGATATAGTAGATATGCCCTAGATCCAATCTTATATTTGATGATTTGAACATATTTTTCTGAATGCTATTTGATATAAAAATATATGGCATCTGATATTCTTTTATCATAGTTATTATTAATTGCTTGATTAATTTAATTAGATCCTTGATTAAATTTTGAGACTTGACATTGTGATGGAGATCATGATAATGAGAGTGAAGTTTCTTATAATTTAATCTAAATTTGTTCTTGATCGTAGGATTATTAATTTGGACATTAGTAATCCGGTGAGATCAATATTTATGTGATCATCTTTATTGGATAAAGATTAGTTGATCTCATTAACTAAATCACATAGATAGATGACGCATATAGAGATATGGTCATTGATCCGACTCATTGGATAATTCCTGATGGTTAGAATTACCATAAACTGTCAATAGGATATTCCCTTGAAGAATGTGATGTAAGAGTTTCCTTTGACCTGAGATCATCATAGTAATTGACAAATTATTTATTGTGCTTTGATACTAGACACCTATGGCCCTAGGGCGATAGTTGAAAGGATATTGGGTACGATTAAATACTTGTAGAATTAGTGATTGATCAAGATGAAATCTGTTAACTCTTGGTAATGAGTTTAAGCTCCATGTTGTCATGAATTATAAACAACCAAATTAAGACCTTGGCCAGGGCAATTGAATGAAAAGAAGAAAAGAGTTTCTTAGGTCATTCAATGGTCGATTATATTTGACATGAACACATAGTTGGTCGCCTATTAGGATTTGACAGTTAAACCATATCCTAGGGTGACCCAGAGCTATAAGGACAGAAGGAATTACTATATTATTCTTCTACGGGTCCTTCAGAGTAGATTGTATACTTCATGCTATCCGGTCGTTAAGGAGTATTGCTAGACGCCACCCTCGATTAGTATATTGATATGATCAATTTACTACCGGCTTAGTATTGAACCTATGTGGTCGCACACTAACGAGTGTTCTGATCTTTGCTAAAGGATTAATTACTTTATTATTTGTTAATTAAATTAAAGAATTTAATTAGTCAAATAATTTAGTTATTAGTTCAAATGAAATATAATTATGTTCTTTGCTAGCACAGAGGATATAATTAATATTGTGAACAAATTGAAGTTTTCTATTTAGAATAGAAAATTAAATTATATGCCTTGGTTGAAATATATATATGATATATATTTGGTACTCGTAATTCATATTTATATATAAAGGTTATATATTTAATATTAATTTATTCTTACAATCCAATTTTTAATTGGACATTAAATTCCATAAAGAATTTCCTACGATTTCATTAAACATGGAAATTAGAAGTCCAAAAAAGGACGTCTCACAACTCAAAAGTGTTTTCTTGTTTTCAATAGGAAAATTCCAAGGTTTGGAATTGGACTTCATGGAAAGTCCATGATTCTCGGCAGTCACATTACCCATTGAGAAAGGGATTGCGAATTTCATACAAAATTCCGAAATGTTTATTTATGGAATAAATTTTTACCCTAAGTAAATCATTACCTCAACCAAATAGAAAAATGATTTATAGGTGATGCTATATAAAGGGTGATGGAGAAAATTTGCTGCATTATTAATTCTTGAGAAGAAAAATCACTTTGTAAAAGTGAGAGTGCAACACAAGCCAAGAGAGAAAATACAATTACAAGAAAAGTGTTTCTTGTTCTTCTAACATTGAGTTGAGATTTTTGTGAAAAATTTCAACACAATATTTCGTTCAATTTGTTCGCGTGTTTCATTGATCAAAGAGTTGATAGTAAAGGTCGGTCTCGGTGTGGATACGCATAGAATCTTCGCACTATCGAAGAAATTTGAAACGAGACTCTCTTCACCAGGTACGTCTTAGATCCGATCTTTGACATGTAAATAAATTTTAAACACGAAAAACTCTGCCTAGAATTGTTATTGTCTTCCGCTGCGTGTTCCGAACACCTATACGCAATCCTTCAAAAAGAAGAAAAGGAAAGTCAACAATAATAGAAATGATGAACTTATAGCGATGGTCACAGAAGCATTTGTAGCAGAAAATCAAGTCGAATGGTGGATAAACACCAGTGCAACTCGTCACATATCAGGTGATCAAAATATTTTTAAGACCTATGAATTAGTGGGGGACGATAAAGTCA